TACATACACACAGACAGGGTCGTCCCAATATGCGTTTTTGCAATTTGCATATAGGCAAAAACGCATCAAAAATTTGCATTTGTTGTTTTTTCACAAAGCGAGCATTTACCGAAAAAAACGGCTGGACTTCATGCAAAAAACCGGTAGTTATGCACATAGATGCGCACCACCTTCATCCAAACTGATGCCCTTCCTCCTGCACGCCGGCAAGGATCAAAACACGGCGAATATTAGCTCAAGTGTTAGGCTACAGCGTTGGGATCATTCCTGCTAATAGCGATCTGCGAGTTTAGTGCAAAAACGCATGATCGCACCGGAGAGCCTGGTGCGTTCCAGCCTGGGTTTTGTTTAGGAATTACGGTTGACGTCTTACTTGAGGTAATGATAAAATGAAATCATGTATGTTAGCAATTTTAGCTGCTTCAATGATTTTTTGTTCTGTCGCTTCGTCTTCTGGCAACCCATATCCTGAATAAAATTCCATCAGTTACTCGTCCGTTTTCAAAAGAAAAATACAAAAAATTCGCGGATTTCAAAAGAGTAAAGCTTAAAGTTTTGTCTATTTAGAGAGGGAAAGCTTGAGATTTAAACATTGCTTGTCTTTGCACAATGTTTTTATCCACTTTATCCATGACATTTCTCATTTGTAAACGAAATCTTCTCCATAATCGCGCAGTAATAGAAACCGAGGGACTCGAAAGTAGCAGGAACGGTATCAAATGCCAGCAGCAACCATCCGCTGGGAAAACCAGTGATGCCTCCTACTCCTCTTTCCAAATTCCTTCCTAGTGGCGGCCTAGGCCACACTACCATCGAAAAGAATGAACGAATTGCAGAGAGACTGGTCTTCAAGTAGCTCGTGAAGTCCTTAAAAATTTTCTTGAAAAAAAAAAGCGGAGGAACAATCTGCAACTGGTAGATTTCTTGGCTGTTCGGAATAAGCTAAGAACGAATGAGTCAAAATCTGTACGTGTTGCTCACCGATATTTTCACGAATGGTAAATGAAAATAACGTTGGTTCCTGACCAACCGAAACTACCACACGTCGCAGATATGCCGGATTAATTTGCTTCACATTGTAATCATCGATTAACTGAAATTTTACGATGAATAAAAGAAAACTTAACAAAATTCATAAACATTAGCGAGCGAATTAAAATACTTGCACATTCAAAGGAAGAAGGGCAACGGATCTTCCTTAACTTTGTTTTTTTCTCTATCGTTTTGAATTGGACTAATTTTGATTATATGGCAGATAAAGCGGATTACTGAGTGGTACTCAAGACGTATAAATTGAAACAATAGCGTGTTTAGGAAGGGCAAGAAAAACGAAGAGGTCGTTTCCTTACGGCAATACACTTTGACAAATTTTTAACTCATAATTATACTGTTGTAATAGTGTACTGGCAAGTGGTGCCTATTCTAGCTCGGACCATTGCGTTCGGTCGCATCCGCTAACAGAAGAAAAAATTTGTTATTTCAAACAAAATTATGCTAGTAGCCGACTTTACTGGTACTCATTGTTAGGCTTGTAACGAAGCTATGTTCACAGTATGTCGGATTTTCTAACTTGTAAAACTGTTTCCACTAAAGGAGAATGATCAGCCTAAAAAGGGTTTTATCATTCTCCTTCTTCATTTAAAATCGCCTTATTTAGATGAAGAAAGTGCGGTAAACGCAAGTGCAAAATGAAAATTTAACCAAAAAACGTGAAAGGTAAAGTTCGCTGAGACAACGAAGTCGAAACAAAAATCCCTGTACAGTAACTCATTTGTTAGCATAGCTATATATATGGCTCACGGTAACGCTAAATCAGGATCGTTACAATGACCGTCCAAGTAAGCTTGAAATCTTGATCAATAAAATCGGGATTAATAAGGGCTAAATTACGTATTAAAGATACCACTTCTCCCTTTGTGGTGCTGTACATTCGCTGGAACAACGCCAGAATGGAACTTTTTCCAGAACCAGATGGACCGACGATAGCAATTGAATCACCCGGACGGACCTGTAAGGTGTGAAATTCTATACATTGCTTTAAAATACAGTAACCCCGGAATTACTGCCAGATTACTGTATCATAATTCGTTCTGTCCAAACTGGATACGATAGTTTTTAAGGCCTGATACGGTAATAAAGGCTGGCTACGGTAGCTTCGAGCCATGAACGGTTCTCTTAGTTCTCTTACGATTTGCTGAGTTGTTTCGGTGAAAAGTTGATTCAGGTGTGCTCCGACATATATTGGAAATTCGATAATTTTCTTGAGTCCTTGGACGACGGAAGAAGGATCCATTGAACGGCTATGTGAAGCTATGTAAATGCAGCAAGCTCAGGAAAAGGCAAAGCGATGAGGTTGAGAGACAAATTAACGAAAAGTGGGAGCACGATAGCGAAATGTAGTTCCTTGTATCTGATACTGAGTACCAAGAATAACGGAATTGGTCGTAATATCATAGTAATCAAAAACAACAAAATTGATATTGAATAAAAGCTTCTGACGCTGATTCATAAGGCAAAAGACAAAATCCTCTTCGTTGTCGCTGTCTAGGTAAAATAGTTGATTATACGGGGCAGTGAAAGATCGAAATTTATTTAGCAATTTTACCTTGAGAGTGAGACTCCGTAAAACGGGACATATTGGTCGAGATGGATACCTAAATTCCACATTTTTAAGCATCAACCGACCTGATATCTTCTGCAAAATAGACTACCATATCAAAATCGCTTTTCAGTGGTATATATAGCTGATTTAGCAATAACTTATAAACACAGGTATTACTTTTATCATAATTCATAGACCTACCGGTCGCAATCCTTCATCACTTAAATTGTTCATATCAACTGCTGTTTCTTTAATCACGCCAAGAATATTCTCCGAAGCCATGCGTGCTTTGGATAAATCACTCACTGATGCAATCAGTTGACTGATAAAATTGGCACCAAACTGTGTCAGCAAGACAACCCTGTCAAGTTTCTTTATCATCTACAGTACTCAAATTTTGATAAATCGAAATCAGCTCTATTGCATAAATCTTTACCGTTGTCAATATCACCAGTCATTTACTGGTACAATGAAACATGTGCTACAGTTTTGATTTTTGTGAAGCTCTCAATATTCGAATAAAACCGGCAAAAAATGCAGAAATGTCAGCTGGTTGTGGTAGCAGTTTAGTACATCACAGCAAGTATATTGGTAACACACACAGAGGTATATAAACTTCAAATGTAAGAATTGCTGGGAGAGGTAGTATGATGGATAACACGTCATGATTAAAAAGGATAAAGAAATAATAGAAATAAGAGGTTCGATTCTCGTCCGGCTGATAACAGTGAAAATGAGAAGTTCGATTCTCTTCCGACCCGCAACCCTTTGCAAAAGGAGCTTAGTTGGCAAAAATTATTAGCCGGACATCACTTGAAAAAAATTACTTCCCATACATTATTGTAGTTAAAGATAGGACTCCCAGTGTAGAGTTTAGCAAATGAATATTTGCCGGTGCCTTCGGGCATATTCTATGCAAGGCCGTCGAGCATGTTCTAACAATATCAATAAAATCGGATTTAGCTACAGTAATTTGAGCAAAATTTCTTGCAACCTCAGTTATTTTAGTAACACGATAACTAGCACTGCACGAGAAGCGACGTCTGAAAGGGAACTGTACCTGAGATAATCGAACGGTGTGATTTCATTACTCAGCATCATCACTTTGCCGAAATGTAACGTTATGGCGATGAGTATATATGTGAAGCTGAACTGACATGCAAATACAAATGAACTGATGCAGGACTGTCGTTTCATTGTCCTGAACAACGAAGTAATA